TCTCTTATTCCTACTTTCAAGTAGGAATAAGAGATCCTCCGGAAAAGGGCTTTATTCCGGAGGATCGCGCCAGTCTAGACGCTTTTTTCCGGCTTTTCCCCAAGCCGGGAAAAAAAGCGGCGGGCATGTTTATTTAAATCCCGCGGGGGATATTTAAATCCCCTGCGGATTTCCCTATTCTGACTTACCTGCTTTGCATGACTCTTATTCCTACTTTCAAGTAGGAATAAGAGATCCTCCGGAAAAGGGCTTTATTCCGGAGGATCGCGCCAGTCTAGACGCTTTTTTCCGGCTTTTCCCCAAGCCGGGAAAAAAAGCGGCGGGCATGTTTATTTAAATCCCGCGGGGGATATTTAAATCCCCTGCGGATTTCCCTATTCTGACTTACCTGCTTTGCATGACTTTTCCGGAATTAGGGGCCAGTCTAGACGTAGCCAGTATGTGTCTACAATGCAAGCCATTATTTTGACATTATGTTTAGCTGGAGGACTTTTTACTCTGACTTCTGTAACCCTCATTTCATGAGGAATAAGGGAAGTCAGAGGAAGAGGGCTCTTTCTTCCACTTTCTTTTGTGTAAATAGCGCCAAATACTGAATTGATCTATTTTGACTTCAGCTATGCAATTAATGCAGCAGAAGTTTTGTAGTTTAATTTGACTTTTGCCCTGCAGTGAAGACATGCCCATAGAGACTAATAGGTGTATTAGGTCATGAAATTTCATGGTTAAAGAAGCCCATGAAGAAGTGGGCTTTACCCACAAAAGCTCAAGACCTAAAAAATATGTTAATCTCTGAGGGCATGTCTGCACTGTGACACTCTTTTGAAATAAGATATTCCAGAATAGTAATTTTGAAATAGCTTATTTCAAAATAGCACGTTCACTCTGAAAAGGGTGGTTGGCTATGTAGGGGTAGAGTGTGAGTGGTGGGGGGAAGCCCTGTCCCCATGGGGTTCTGCAGCACACCCTCAAGCAGCCCAGCAGGAAGGCAGGCAAAACCCCTCACTCTGCTGCCATTCCTCCCGAAGAGAAACACCTTTGTGGCCCAGACTGTACTGGGAATCTTGAGAGACCTTGGAAGGGCCTGGATTTTAGAAACCCATCTCCCTCCTTCTAAATATCAGACATTCTTAAGGTGTCTCAAGAGGAGCACCCAATATCAACAGTCAGTATAGATACTTGTGACCACAGTGAACAGGACTGTTCACAGCATAGGGAATGAACCCACATCAATGAAACTCATAGGGTGCATCTAGACTGGCAAGATTTGCCAGGTGTCTACACTGGCCACTTGAATTTGCGCAAGAGCACTGACTTTATAATGTACAAAATCAGTGCTTCTTGCGCAAATACTTTCCCGCTCCCGCTCGGGAAAAAGCCCTCTTGCGCAAGTATTCTTGCGCAAGAGGGCCAGTGTAGACAGGGAAGAACGGTTTTGCACAAAAAAGCCTCGATGGCTAAAATGGCGATCGGGGCTTTCTTGCTCAAAATTGCGTCTAGACTGGCCACGGATGCTTTTGCGCAAAAGCACTTTTTGCACAAAAGCATCCATGCCAATCTAGACACGCTTTTGCGGAAATACTTTTAACGGAAAAACATTTTTTAAACGTATTTCCACAAAATCATGCCAGTCTAGATGCAGCCATAGTGTACATGTAAAAAGAAAGATGAGCTCAGAAGCTTTGGATAGCCAAATGCAGGCAATGTTGAGAACCCACAGTTCCCCTCTGCTTTCAAGGCTAGTCATTCCTCACCCATGTCTTCAGCTTTTCATAGACAAGTTACATCTGCTTCCTATGTGGGCATGGGGGGGGGGGAGTGGAAAAAGCAGCTCTTTGTCTCCTTTTTTCCCTGCTCACACACCCAGGAAAAGTGTTAGATGAAATTTGGACCTCGGAGTTCAAAATATCAAGCACCAAATTGCTCTGTCAAATTTTGCAACCATTCACTTGTTAAAGTGTCACAAATGCTATGCTTTTCTAGAAATACATTTCGACCCAGAAAGAGCCACAAAACATGATGCTATTAATTTAAACTTGCAGAAAGACATTTCACTCTTTAGGGCTTGTCTATATGTGGAGTTAATCCAAATTAACTATCTGGATTTTAAGTTTTAAATTCTAACATTTTGATATGTGGAGTAATGTTTCTGAGTGTCTCCATGTAAACAAGATGATTTTGCAGAAGTCTAATATAGATTTTTTTCCTGTTTGGTGAATTGTGTATATAAGGGTAAGTCCATGCTACAGTAAGAAAAGTTCCTGCAACACAGAAACATAGAATTCTAGGTCTGGAAGAGACTTCAGGAGATTGAGTCCAACCCCCTGTCCAAAGCAGGGCCAACACTGACAGCACCACGTCACAGAGCCAGGTCAGTTGATTGGGCCTCATTGGGCTTGAGTTCTGGGTCTAAAAATTGTCATGGAGATATTCCGGCTCAGGCTGGAGCCTGGGTTCTCACTCTGCTTGCAGGGTTCCAGAGTATGAGCTCCAGTCAACAAGAATTATTAAAGGTCTAGACAACATGACCTGTGACGGAAGAATGAAAGAATTGGGCTTGTTTAGCTTAGAAAAGAGTATCTGAAAGGGTGTTACAGGGAGGAGGGGGGAATTGTTCTCCTTGACCTCTGAAGGTAGGACAAGAAAAAATAGGCTTTAACTGCAGCAAGGGAGGTTTAGGTTGGACATTAGGAAAAAGTTCCTAACTGTCAGGGAAGTTAAACTCTGGAATAGATTGCCTTGGGAGGTTGTAGAATCTCCATCACTAGAGATATTTAAGAGAAGGTTGGATAGACATCTATCAGGGATGGTCTAGATAGTGCTTGGTCCTACTGTGAGGGCAGGGGACAAGACTTCATGACCTCTCGTGTTCCCTTCCAATTCTAGTGTTCTAGTAATTACCCTGATTGCTGGGATGCTTCATACTCTGGACTGAAACTGCTGCTGCAGCTGCACTGCTCCAGGACTCAAGCTAGGAGAGCAAAGAGCTCACAGGCAGTAACGGCAGCCTGGAAACATCATGGCTACATCTAGACTGGCATGATTTTCCGCAAGTGCTTTTAACAGAAAAGTTTTCCGTTAAAAGCATTTGCGGAAAAGAGCATCTAGATTGGCATGGACGCTTTTGCGCAAAAGCTTTTTTGTGCAAATCTCAGCTGTCTACACTGGCCCTTTTGCGCAAAAGCTTTGTGCAAAAGGATTTTTGCCCGAACGGGAGCAGCATAGCATTTCCACAAGAAGCACTGATTTCTTACAGTAGGAAGTCAGTGTTCTTGCGGAAATTCAAGTGGCCAGTGTAGACAGCTGGCAAGTTTTTCCGCAAAAGCCCATGAGTCTCTGGCCCATTGAACCTCAAGGAGGTTCAGTGCCTGGCACAGCCCTGGAGAAGAGCAGGTATGGTGCCCCACATGGGCAGCAGTGGTCCTGGAATCATCTGGCCTCCCTGGGCACCAGGACTCAGTGAGTGTATCTTTCACCACCTTGCAGTCCTCATATGATTCCAGCCCCTCACTTACCACCACACTGGCTGGATACAGTGACACCTTCCCACATTGTTCAGACTTCCCTGCAGTGAATTAGAGAAGGAAGGAAAGGAACAGCCTGGTGTATTTCAATATGGAACAAGGAGTAATTGGTTGCCTTGCATTTCTGTATCTGTTCTGATTGCTGCTCTCATTTCAGATCAGTCCCTGTGACTTCCTGCATGAGCTACCAGAGGCATGGAGCGAAAGTTACTGCTCTGCATCTTGCTCTATGCCATGCCGGCAGCAGTGATTCTCTTGACAGGTAAAAAAAATGGCCCAAAAAACTCTTCCCTGCAACGCATAACTGGAGAGAGGTGCTAAAACCTGCATGAAACCCCTGCTGGTGTCTGTCTCTGCAGACAGAAAGTTTTTGTATGTTTGTTCACTGAGATATAAACAGATGATTCAGGAGACGTTGGCAATCTGTTCATGGAAGCATCTGAAGGCTCTCAGCTCTTACTGAACACTGCATTTCACAACAAGTTCTCAGCACCTTGCCATTTCAAAGTGTTATTTCCCCTGGTTTTCCCAGTAAGAAACTCTGGGGATCTGCCCCAATTCTAACCATGAAGGAAAGGTGACCATAGACAGAAAACAATCCCAATTTGATTTGGTTGAGCTTATCCAGTTTTTAACTGTATAAATGGCACAAGTGGAAAATGCTTCTTGATGTGTCTGCAGCTACAGATTTACACTGGTACAGCAGGTGGCTGATGTTCAAAATCAAGACAAAAAAGGGATAAAATTTCACTTGAAACTTTAACTTTAATAGAAAAATATCCTTTTCCAAACAATGAACATTTTCTGCAAAACTATAGAAGTTTAATTCTATATCTTTTCAAGAGACCTCCCCCTTCTTTCAAAAAAAATCAATTTAGGATTTTTTCTCTTGTTTTTTCCCCCTTCTCCATTCTGTCTCCTCTTTTCTAGTGAAAAAGGAGAATATGGAAGGGGGAAAGCAGACACCTCTCCACTCCCAAACCAAAAATCTTTTCTTTCCTTTGACCAAAATATTCAGAACATTTGAATGGCTTTACATAAAAAAAACTATATTGCTTGAAACATATCTTACCCATTTTTATACAAGCTCTCATAGACCAGTCCTAAGATCTCCCAGGCAGGCTCTGCTCAATTAACACGTTTTATCTGTTACACAAAGTCTTGTACACAGAGGCTACATCTACAATGGCAGCTTCTTGCACAAGAACTGTTTTGCGGAAGAGTTCTTGTGCAAAAAGTCTTCCACAAAAGCATGTCTACACTGGCATGTGCTTTTGCACAAGAGATGTGCTTTTGCGTAAGAGCATCTATGGCATTGTGGATGCTCTCTTGCGCAAGAAAGCTCTGATGGCCATTTTAGCCATAGGGGTTTCTTGCGCAAGAAATTCATGTTGCCTGCCTACACTGCCCTCTTGTGCAACAGCTCTTGCACAAGAGGGCTTATTCCTCATGGGGAGAGGAATAACTATTCCGGAAGAAGCCCTGTTTTCTGGCACTATACTGTAAATTTACTTGCACAAGAATGTGTGTGCAGTGTAAACACCTGGCAAGTTTTTGCAGAAGAACAGCTGTTCTTGTGCAAGAAGCCGCCAGTGTAGACACTGGTATAATATCAAATGGTATAATATCAAAACTGATCTTCATTCTTCTTATTTGCTTCCTCTCAGCTCACCATCTGTGATGTTGGTCAAGTAACATGTTTCCACTAATCTCTGTCTTGACACAGCATGAGAGCTTTTTTAGTATTTAATTTTTTTTGTTCTGTGTCACTGTATCTACCAATGCTTTTCATTACCATGTAGGGTCTCTTTTTTAGATCACTTCCAGACATAGCCAAGCCATCACCATTACACTCTCTACCCATTTTCTTATCACTTCATTTTTCTATTTTATGTGGTCTTGAAACTCAGTCTTCCCCTCAGCCAGTTCATTCCTGCAATCAGTGTCTTCCATTCATTGTTTCCCCTCCATCATTCCAACCTGCACAGTGGGATTGGTATGAAAATTGTCTCATATACTCTGTGTTTCTTTGTTACCAAGATATTTCTTCGTTGTGTTCCAGATGTTGCAATTTTCCAAATGCAGTAACAACTGTTCTGAGTCTTCTCTTTATGTCATCTTCACTATTCCCATTTTTGTTTCTAGAGCTCCTCCCCCCCCCCCACACACACACACTTGTTCTAGTTCTTTGTCTCCAGCTTTGCTCTCTTTCCTTCCTTGTCTTCCCATTGGCATGATAGTCTGCCCTGTGCTGACATTCAGTATGAATTATCTCCTTTCCTGCTCTCTTCTCAGTAATTATAAATCAATATCATCTATAAAAATAAGATTTTTAATAAGAACAAAATAATCTTACATCCTTGTGTGACGGATGGGGCCGTGTCTGGGCCCAGCTGAGGGTGTCCGCTCAGGGCTAATTGCTCAACTTCGGGGCTCCTTACAGTCCCCAGACTGGTGACCTCTCCAAACAGGCCACAAACCAGTCCACAGAGCACTTCAGCTGCGTGCCTGAAGCCTCACAAGGAAAACCCCTCCGACATGCCAGCAATATCCGTGCCCCAGATGGCCCCGGGCCTCATACACAGGTGGGGGGGGCCTAGCACCCAATCCCACCTACCCTGAACAAGTTCTGTCCGGTTCCAAGAAACCAGCCACAGATCCCTGGTTAATTTACCCTCTGGACCTTACCCACAAATCACGCTGAGCCAATCCTTTAGCATCTTACAACTAAAGGTTTATTACAACAGAAAAGAAAAGCATGAGAATAAGGTTGTTAAAGGATAGTACATTACATTCATTGAATCTCCTAGTTCTCGATGCAGGCTCTAGCAGAGATGTTACAGCTGCTGGTTTAAAAGTCCTTGTTGCACATCCTAGGATCAGGATGGGTCCACAGGTCTTCCGGGCTCTTTAATCCCTGCAATGCTGCCTCTGGGATGAAGTGCTAAGCTGAGAACAAGATGGCATCGACCACATGGCCTATTTATCCCTCCTTCCTGGTCCCTTCTTGGCTGTAGCAGGTCACCTGGCCAGCGGCCAATCTCTGTGTTCCCTGCTGGCAGCTCTCAGGTGACAGCCCCCATTCTTTAGGTGTGTCCTTGGCCCATTGAGAGCCATTGTCCCAAAGGGCCTCGCTAATTAGCATGTCCACAGGCCCAGCCCTGCCCAATGCTCAACCACATGCAGGGAAATATTCAGTATCCATAAGTCCAGATGGAAATCTTCAGTATCCATACAAGTACATGCTAATAATTGCACACACAGACATTATACAAACATATGAACAGCGTACCTAGGATTATCAGACAGTAAGCTTCTATTCAATACCTCACATGGCCCCCTTCTATACCATTTTTGGGGCCAACACCCCCACCTATGGGTGCATCAGTGATCTGGCTGCTCCCCTCAAGATCCAGTAACGTGACACCTTGTTCTAATGAAACATAAAGATGGCAACGAATAACATATTTACAGGGTGTTTCCACTCTTTAATTTATGATGAATAGATTACTGCTTGGAATCCACAACAGACCCCATTGCTTTTATGCTGGACTCATGCTCAGGGTACGATTAAGCTGCAGTCAGAGGACGGATTGTTTCTCAAGAAGCAGTAACTGTGCTAGCTTACATCTAGCTAGCTAGGTAAAAAAAAAAACCCATTGAAAATACAGCAGCATGTGTGAGCTAGGAGTTTGAGTATCCATTCTCTCTTGTGTTCATTTCTCTTTTTAGCCAGGCTAGTTAGATTAGAGCTAGCAGCAGTCACTCCTGCAGCTGGAGTGTGGACACTCATGTAAGTTTGATTCTTTCAGAGAATTTCGAGGTCAGCTCAACCCCAACTGTCACTGCAGTGGTCGGCCAGGATGTGGTCCTGCCTTGCCAGATCTCCACCAGGAGACAGCCAGAAAATATGGAAGTGCAGTGGAAAAAAATCATCCAGGCAGCTATAGAGACTGTCTATGAATACAGAGCCCAGACAGGCCAGGAAGTGCCAGGGCAGAAATACAAAGACCGAACTGTGCTACTGAAAAATGGATTCACCTCTGGGAATGTGTCTTTAAAGCTGAAGAATGTTCAGCCAGATGATGTAGGAATATACAGCTGCATTGTGAAGTCCAATGAGTGGAGTGCGGATGATACAACTGAGCTTAAACTCGCAGGTTGGTGATTTCATTGGTCTGAGTCAGATTTTGCATGTCCATGATGCAGCTGTGCAATGAGGACAGGGCGCAAGAAGCCTTGTCCCTTTGTGTAGTTGTGCAAATGCCAGGCTGAACTCCTGTCCTTTCCCTCACAGTGCCCTGAGGGTGCTGAGCAGGAGACAGAGCCATAGTGTTGCCCCAAGAATCAACTAGAGGAGTTGCCCAGATGTGGAAGGGGCTGCAAGCAAGCTGCGTTAGCAGACTGTGTATGCCAAGGAGGTCTGGGGTAGGACAACATCCCACCTGCCCTTACTCAAGACTATGCCTGTATGAGGCAATTGAGCCCCAAATATACAAACTAAGAAACTCTGGGCCTGATTGCTAGGTACACCATGACCTCCTGATGCTCCTCTGTTAACATAAAACATGCAGTACCCAGCAATGGAGACTGGACAGCTTCTGACTCCAATCTGGTGTGAAGTTGCTTTCAGTTAAATATGTCAGGAATCACTCTTGGAGATGCAATCCCAAAAGTGCACAAGGTCAGAACAAACTTTATGAACCAAGTCAGTCCTATATTAGTCTGATACATCCTGAGCTGGCCATCTACCCTAGGATGAAAGTTGCCTTTGATGACTGTGCAGTGATTACTCTGAACAGTGGTAGAAACTCGTTTTCCTGATCTTGACAAGTAAAATCTATTTACAGTGGGTCAAATCCCCTGGTGGTATAAAGGGGAGTAACTATGACTTCAGTAAAGTTGTGCTCATTACACTAAGGCTATGTCTACACTCAGGGCTTCATGTGCAAGAAATATGCAAATGAGGCTAAGTGTGGCATATCTCTGAGCCTCATTTGCATGCCTAATGAGCTGCCATTTTTGCAGAAGAGGCTTTTGTGGCAGAAGGACTGTGCTACACTGATTATTTTCAGGAATAATGGCATTGCGCAAGAGAGTTTTTCTTGTGCAAGAAGGGGCAGTGTAGACCGCTCCTTCTGGCACAAGAGCTTCTTCTGCAAAAATGGCGGCTCATTAGGTATGCAAATGAGGCTCAGCAATATTCCACACTTAATCTCATTTGCATATTCCTCACACAAGAATCCGCGAGTATAGACAGAGCCTAACTGATGATCTGTCCTGTTGAGTCCAAAAGAGCAGGACCAATTTACACCAGCTGGGAATCTAGTCCAGAGTTTTTGCCATTGCCCAAGGTTGTGAATGACCCAGGAATAGATTATGTTGCTGTTGCTGACACTGAATAGTACTTGAATCTGAAGTGAACCCTGCTGGTTTCGAAAATTAAGATTCAATTCACTGTGATCAAGGGCATCAGAATCAGAACTACAGAAAACAGTCAGTATAAGAGCACGAGTGAATGTGGCAGTTCTCCTGCTCAAGGGTTAGATTACAAGCTGCTGCAAATCATTGTCAGTATATACCAAATGCAGGTCTAACTGGTATTCTGTATTTGTGCACTAGAACAGGGAGACGGGGAGAGAGGCAAAAAGTTGAAGGACCAGTCCCATTCACTTTTTGACATGGGCATATTTTTGGAGTCATAGGATTCTGTCCCTCCTGTGCCCCAGACTGCAAGCTTTGGGCAGGAGACCAGTGGCAGAAGCAGGAGCTGCTCTTGCAGCAAGAGATCTGATCAGGTCCCTGCTGCAAAGTGAAGCTCCTGCCATTGTGCCAAACTCATCCTGCTTCTGGACCCTGTCATTGGCCCCACCACTGCTCCTTCGCTTCCCCTCAAGGCTCTGCCCTCTGGCCAGGCCAGAAGTCAGAAATGAGCCACCACTCAGGGAGCCCAAGTCGCTGTAGGTAGGTGGAGCCCAAAGAGGTCTCCACAGTGGCTGGGCACCTTGGGAAGCTCTTACTGAGACTGGTAAGGGGATGGGGCCTCACAGTGAAGAACTGGAGTATTTGGTGGGGCCACATAGGGGATGCGGTCTAAGGGGGAAAGTAAATAGAGGTGTCCAAAGAGAGGCAGGGCCAAAGGAGAAACAATGTTCTCCCCAACATACCTCTACCAAGGTTCCTGTTGTGTGCTGTAAAACTGGTCAGCTCCTGTATTTACACATCCATAGAACCTGAAACCTGGCTTGTTGCTAAGTATGGGGAAGAAATGGTTTGGTTCCATGGTGATGTTTTCCATCTATTCTCTTCAAAGGTGATGTCTGCACTCATGGTTCTCCCTGGCTTGCAGCATTCTGGGTATTACTTGTTTTAGACATTCTTGTGATTGGTGCCTATGCATTTTGGAGATATAAAGGTAAATGCACTTCCTCCATAATTAAAGTCTCTCCACATTGTGTGGTGGGGAATAATAAACCTAAATTAAAATGAACGATATCACATTTTCTGGTGTTCAGAAAGACTTTCCAGGATTTTAAATGATTTATTTTAATGTTTGTTCATCTCTGATTAGCGTTAGTATCAAAGAAGAATTTTTTTAAAATGGTCTGTTCTAGTATTTTGAATTATCGCCGTGTATTTGGCACAAATGAGACTGCTGCTGCAATCCTGTGTCCTGTCCTGGTGAAAATCAGAGACAGTGCGAGAAGAATCACAAGAATTATTAAATTCTTATTTAAACATTGTATTATTAAATTATTAAATATTAATTTATAGTTCTATTGATATATTTATATACAATTGCATTTGTTCATTATATAGATAGATAAATAGATAGATAGATCTTGGTCTACACTAGGGAGTTATTTTCCCCTTATTTTGAAATAACAAGTGGAATATCCACACTACCAAGCCCGTGATTTCAAAATAATAAGCTAGTTAGTTCAAAATAATAACTTCTGTGTTCTATGAGAAATAACACTTATTTCAAAATAGTTATTTCAAAACAGTGATAGATATGCCCTAATGTGCCACAGAAGTACTCATTTTTTAAAGTTACAGACTAACACAGCTACCCCTCTGAGGGTATGTTTACACTACAGCATTTTTCCAGGATACCTCCATATCCAAGTAACACGTCTGTTCTTCTGAATTTTTTTTCAGAAGAGCAGATGCATTTTTTCAGCATTCCTGTAAACCTTGTTTCATGAGGAAGAAGGGATGTGCCGAAAAAAGGGTTTTTCTGACATTTGGCCCCTTGTAGACAGGCTAAATGTCGGAAAAGCCGCTTTCGATAAAAGACGCAGAAAAGGTCTTTCAAATTGCACTTTGCAATTTGTGTACCTTTTTCCAGAAGAACACTGCAGTCTAGACACAGCCTGTGATGCTATTAAAATAAATTATTAAAGATTTATAAAATCCATAGACTGTGAAAGTTAGGTTGACATAATCTCATGCGGTGAACAAATATTTGATACTGGGTTCTTCAATCTAGCAAAGCAAAGATACAACAACATTAAATAACTGAATATTCAAGCTCCAGAAATTCAGACTGGAAATACAGGATGTATTTTTTAGCAGTGGGGGTGATTTATCCCTAGAACAGCTTACCAAGTTTGTTGGATTCTCTGTCACTGGAAATTTTTTAATCAAAACTGGGTTTTTTCTCTAAAAGATCTGCTCCAGTTCAGATAGATTTTTTTTCAAGGAAGCTTTAAGGCCTTTGTTATATAGAAGGTGAGACTCAATGATGACAGTAGCCCTTTCTGTCTTTATAATCTAATAATTTCATAGAGAATAAAAATGAGCAAGGAACATCAAAATCCTGAAGTCAGATGCTGTTGTATACAGTGCTTCCTGCCATGGACAGTCCAACCAACTTCCCTGTAATTTAATGAGATTATTCAGAGTAGTAGGTGTTACCCTGGGGAATGCAGGTTGTTATTTAATTATTTTAACCAATATAGCTTAATAACAAGTGTTTAATGCAGAAATGAGAAGACTGAAAGGAGATGTGATAGCAGCTTCCAAGTATATAGAAAGTTGTTATGAGGGGCAGGAAGTAAAATTGTTCTCCTTCACCTCTGAGGATAGGACAAGAAGTAATGAGCTTAAGTTGCAGCAAAGGAGGTTTAGATTGGATATTAATAAAAACGTCCTGCCTGTCAGCGTGGTTAAACACTGAGGCTGTGTCTAAACTATACCCCTCTGTAGGCAGAAGGATGTAAATTAGACATTTTGAAAGTGCAACTGAAGCAGGGATTTAAATATCTCGTGCTTCATCTGCATAATCGCGTCATGGTGCTGTTTAGAACAAGCGCCATGTCAAAAGTGAAACCACGGTTTAGATGTGTTTTTTTCAACAACAGGGTGCTTTTTCGAAAGATGAGGAGTACAGGATCTTTCGAAAAAGTGCTCTGTTGTGGATTTTTCACTTTCGACATGGCGCTTGTTCTAAACAGCACCATGACGCGATTATGCAGATGAAGCACGAGATATTTAAATCCCTGCTTCAGTTGCACTTTCAAAATGTCTAATTTACATCCCGCTGCCAACAGAGGGGTGTAGTTTAGACATAGCCTGAAATACATTGCCTAAGAGGGTTGTGGAATCTCCGTCACTGGCAATATTTAAGATCAGTTTAAACAAAAAGCTTTAAGGGATGGTCTATATGATGCTTCATCCTGCCACATGTGCAAGGGACTGGACTTGATGCCCTCCTGAAGTTTCTTCCATTTCTATGATAATGTCCCTTTTTTAAAGAATTATTTTTACAAAAAGCCACATTTATTTTGATTTTTCCAATTTTCAGCATAAACTTAAATCACAAAACATTAGTACATGAGGTCCATATTTGTACTTTCACTACTCCAGATTTCTGTTTTGCTCTCCATTTTCACAGTACTATGAAACATTATAAAATGCCTCTGTCTTTATTTTTCAGACTACATATGCAAGACTTTGGCAGCTTCAGTTCTGTTCTTGGCTGTGCTACTAGTTTGATGACTGACCTAAAGCATATCTTACCACTTCTCTGTGCCTCAGTTTCCCCCACTTTAAAAAGGCGATAATGACACTCCCTTCTTTTGTAAGGCACATTGCTTTTGAAGCATGAAAAACACTAAATGCAATTATTATGCATATTGGAAAGTTATTGAACTCAGAAGGCCTACTTTATGCAGGAACAATATAAAATGCATGGGTATGTATGTCCATGTGGAACTGCACCAGGGTGGATTTGAACCTGGGAATTCTGCAGCTTAATACAGGGGCCTTGATAACTTAAACTACAAAGGCAGCTGGCCTCTGTCTGCCTGTAGAGGTTTCTTGTTTTTATTGCTCACTATAAGTGGTCTAAGTGCCACTACATGGAACAGTGACCCACACTAAGTCTACATCTAGATTGCACCGTTACATTGGAAACAGTGTTTGAGGTATGCAAATTGCGTATCTTTTTTCGATTTACTTTCAAAAGACTCTCTTTTGAAATTTGGCACCAAATTATGAAAGAATGTGCTCCTTTGAGCCATCCCTTTTTCCTCATAGAATGAGGTTTACAGGGATGGCAAAAAAGCATGTCCATTCTATGAAATTTTTTTTTGAAAAAGTAGCATGTTCCTAGGATGTGGCATTGCTATGTTGGAATGTCTCTGGTATCCCGAAAAAGCAATGCAGTCTAGACGTAGCCTCAGGCTACGTCTACATTGGCAAAATTTTGTGCAAATACTTTTAACGGAAGAGTTTTTCCGTTAAAAGTATTTGCGCAAGAGAGCGTCTACACTGGCATGTGCTTTTGTGGAAGAGATGTGCTTTTGCGCAAAAGCATCCGTGTCAGTGTAGACGCTCTCTTGTGCAAGAAAGCTCTGAGGGCCATTTTAGCTATCGGGCTTTCTTGCGCAAGAAATTAACGTTGCCTGTCTACACTGGCCTCTTGTGCAAGAATACTTGCACAAGAGGGCTTATCCCAGAGCAGGAGCGTCAGAGTATTTGTGCAAGAAGCGTTGATATTGTACATTTCAACATCAGTGTTCTTGCACAAGTACTCGTGGCCAGTGTAGACAGGCAGAAAGATTTTGCGCAAAAGCAGCTGCTTTTGCACAAAATCTTGCCAATGTAGTCACAGCCTTCAGTGTGTGGGTTACGCATGTCTATATAAAGCAGAACATTAACTATTTTGACCACTAGGTGGCAGAAATGTCTTTAAACCTGTAACCCAGTGGTCTCAAACCTTTTTAAGCAGTTTTTGAATTTAAGTGCAATCCAAGATCTACCTCAAATATAAATACCCTTTGCCCTGCCTCCTTCCTACCCCCTCTCTGAGGCCCCACCCCTGCTCACGCCATCCTCCCTCTAGCCCATCCTCCCTCACTTTCATCAGGCTGGGACATAGGGTTGGGGTAAAGGCTCTGGTCTTGGATTAAGGAATCTGGAGTGTGAGAGGATCTCTGAGCTGCTTTTGGGGCAGGCAGTTGAGATATAGGAGGGGATTTTAGGTGCAGGCTATGGGAGGGCCTTTGGATTCATGGGTACTCGGGTTTAGGACAAGGGGTTGGGGTGCAGGAGGGGGTTCATGACTGGGGTAGAAGTTCAAGATGTGGGATCCAGCTGAGCAGTACTGGTGGCTCCTGATTGGTGGTTCAGTGGGGCTAAGGCATGCTTCCCCCTGCCCTGACTCTGGTCTATTTCCTAAAGCAGCCAGCAAACTCCATCCCAAGTCTTGTTGTGCCCCCTCTCTGCTCTGTGGAGAAAGGATACAGAGTGGGAGAGGGGGAACCTTGACATCAGCACCCTCCTCCCCCTCACCTGCTCTGCATAGGAAGCAGGAGGCTCCCAGGGCTGGGGGGAGGCAGCTCCAAGGCAAAGAGCAGGAGGTGCACAGCAATGGGGGGAAGGGCAGCTGAAGAGCTGGCACTTGATAACTTCTTGACCAAACCACTTAGGATTATCCTGTCAGAGGCTCCAAGATCTACCTGTGGATCTCGATCTACTGGTTGGCGACCACTTCTGTAATCCATGGCAGTGGGCCCCAACCTTTTTATACCTCAGACCGGCATACTCATTCATAAACTTTTAGTACACCAGTAACATTTTCTTTATTTTATTTGCATTTTATCTAAATATTCATTCAGATGTATATTTGTATATTTGCATATTCCTTTGCAAATCAAAGCCCTAGCACTCAGAGCCATTTTGAACATGTGACTTCAGCTGTAGTAACTGCCACGAGGTGGGCAGCCGCTGTAGCTGAAGCTGGCTTTTCGCAGTGGCTCTGGAGACTGGGGCTGAGGTACACCAGCTGGGGTACACTTTCCACTCTGCCACATTGCCCAGCCACCCCCTTCAGCAGTGCCATTCTGACATGCATGTGAGTCACCCCCCAGAGCAACCCTGGACTCCAGAGCAGTCCCACTCTGCCACACAGCCTGGCCAGCACTGGAGGAGCTCCAGTCCCCCAAGCAGTCCTACTCCGCTACATGGCCCAGCCAGACCTGGAACAGCCTCAGCCGAACGGAGGAGGCCTGGTCTACCACAAGGCCCAGTTTCCCTGGAGCAGCCCCCACTCCACCATGTGGGCTGGCTGCCTGGAGCAGCCCCAGCCCCCAGAGCAACCGTTCTCCATATGGCCCTGTGAGCCAGGCCACATGACTGCTGTGGAGCAGAAACAGGGGCCGTGGTAAGGCTGTCCCAGTACAGACAACCTCACTGCAGCCCTGACTCCAGCACAACCGGGTGCCTGCTGCACCAATGACCATGCTACTGCATGGGAAAGAGGGTGGGAGGAGAATGTTTTTGTGTGCGCAGGTGCATACCTTATGTGGGTAGGGCTCATTAGCAGCTGGGAGCATGGCCAGACAGTCTGCTGCAGCCCGTCAGGCAGGGGATCAGGCCCATCACCAGTCCGTGGACTGGTAGTAGGGAACTGCTAATCCATGGGATTAAGGAATTGTCAACTAAAAGAAGTACACCATTTTCCGTATACATGACATTTCTAATCTGTCTAAAGAAATACAAGGAAAAATTATAGAATCATAGAAAACTAGAACTGCAAGGGAGCTCAAGAGGTCACTGAGTCCAGTCCCCTGCCCTCATGGCAGGACCAAGCACCATCTAGACCATCCCTGATAGATGTCTATCTAACTTGCTCTTAAATATCTCCAGAGATGGAGACTACACAACCTCCCTAGGCAATTCCAGCGTTTAACCATGTAGATAGGAAGTTTTTCCTAATGTCCAATCAAAACCTCCCTTGCTACAGTTTAAGCCCATTGCTTCTTGTCCTGTCCTGAGGCCACAGAGAACAATTTTTCTCCCTCCTCTTTGTAACATAAGAACATACTGAGGCAGACCAAAGGTCCATCTAGCCCAGTATCTTGTCTGCGGACAGTGGCCAATGCCAGGTGCCCCAGAGGGAGGAATCACAACAAGTAATCCTCACACGATCCCTCCCCTCTCACTCACCTCCAGACAGAGGCTAGGGACACCATTCCTATCCATCCTGGCTAACACCTTTTTAGATTCTTGACAACCACTATCATGGTTCTGTCTTCTCATTTCCAAAGTAAGCAAGCCCAATTCTTTCAGCCTTCGTTTATAGGTCATGGTTAGTCCTTTTTGTTGTTCATAACCAAGTAATTACATCAAACAACATAAAGGCAAGAACAAAAAACCCAAATTGGTAAAAAAATGTTAAATGTTGTGGCATCTAAACAAACTTGCAGTTTTTCAGAGATGAAGCAATTATATTTTATTAGGCACAAAATAATTGATGAATGTACAGTATATGTAAATATACCCCATGTCTAATACCTAAAAAACCTGTGGCAGCCATATTGACTGGCAAAAAAATTGTGGGTACCCTATAAAATTGTACAAATATTAGAAAATTAAACCTTAAAATTAACTAACTAATACATTAGAGTGAAGCCCTTTATGACTTAATTAGTACTGCAGTAATGCATTTTTATATCTAGGAATAAATTAATTAATTTCCTATTAGTACCAGTGACCTTCTGGGGTTAGTGGCACTGGCTCATAACTAAGGCACATGTTATTCAAAACAACCTTATCCAGTGTCCGAAGAGCAGTGCACACCCATGCTGTTGACACGGCAACTCCATTGTGTGGCAAAAATAATTCAGGCCAAGTCAATGAAAGGAAACAGCCCAGAAGAGCTTTCCAAATGGTTTCAATCAACAGTAAGGGTAACCTGCAACATGGATAGCCAGTACCATGTAGTAACAAATTACAAAATGTATGTGAAGGCCTTATTTATAATTTCAATTCTTCAAATTTCTGTTTTACTCCTTATTTAAATAGCACTGAGGGAAATGTCTATCTTGGCTTTTCAAAGTAAATGTAAAGCTGCACTCCTCAATCAAAATCACATTTCTAGCCCTGTGATATGGAACCAAATTAATTGTCTGCAGGAAACTGTCTTATGAGGGAAGGTACAATCAATTGATCACATTGGGTATAAATCTATGAATGGATAAGGCAAAATGGGCATAAAACATTCTGTAGCTCATTCAGTGCAGGCATTATGTATTTCTGGGATGACAGTAAACATACGCCTCATAAAAAGACAAAAAGCCAGGAAATGGAGTAGAGAGGGAGCCTGGACCATAGGGCCTTGTGAGAGATCTGAGACATGAATCAGGGGCTGTGAACCAAAGTCAGGCCATATATTGGAGCAGATACTTCCAGGTTCACTGTTCAGTACTTGAACTTAGGAAAGCAGTTGCTAGTGTATAATTGAAGAATTCTTGGATGTAGGAGCAAGCGCTGGACAATGGGACTGCACTGCTCACAGCTGCTCTAGCACTACTTGTGGCTTCCAGTGAACAATCAGAATGGTTGATACCATTTTGTACTATAGGTGACATTCTTTTATCATATGTGACATTCTTGGAGGGGTTTGATATATGGATGGAAGGAAGGAAGGTAGGAAGGAAGGAAGATTTTAAGAAATCCTTTGACAAGCTCCCTCATCAAAGGCTCTGAAGTAAAGTAAGCTGTTGTGAGATAAGAGGGAAGATTATTTCATGAATTGGTAACTGGTTAAATAAAAGATAACTAACAAATGGTAGGTGTAAATGGTCAGTTTTCAGAATGGAGGGAGGTGACTAGTGGTTTTCCCCAGGGTCTCCACTTGGACCAGATCTATTCAACATATGCATAAATAAACTGGAAAAGGGAATCAACAGTTAGGTGGCAAAATCTGCAAATGATAAAAACTCTTCAAGATGGTGAATTCCCAAGCAGACTGAGTGCTACAAAAGGGTTTTACAAAACTGGGTGTCTGGGTAACAAAATGGCAGATGACATTCAATGTTGAATCATTCACATTCATGCACTTTGGAAAATGCAATCCCAACTCTATGCTGCTTGGATTGAGGGAAGAAAAGTAAATGAAGCTAAGAATGTTCATCTAAAGGAAAATAACAGCTGAGAAATGAAAGAGACTTTACCTTGTTTCTTCCAGCAGTTGCCTGAAAAACAAATTTTATTTTAATTAGAAATTGTAACAACAAATCTGACCTTCCCACTTTCCAGGAGAGCTCCCTGCAGACCTCCCCAATCACACCTGCCAGTTATCTCATTCTTTCCTTTTCCTATAAAATATCCATATCCATCATCCAAATCTCGTTACATCTGAGCTGTTACTAGGAGGTAATCCCCTTCCCACCAGGGTAATGTATGAATTGGAGGAGTGTCTTGCTCCCTGTATCTACAAAACTAGCAGTCACGACTGCCAGCCCGAGTCAGGAAATAGATAACTACACATACAGGGTATGTCTACGCTACCCCGCTAGTTCGAACTAGCGGGGTAGCGTAGACATACCCTGTATGTGTAGTTATCTATTTCCTGACTCGGGCTGGCAGTCGTGACTGCTAGTTTTGTAGATACAGGGAGCAAGACACTCCTCCAATTCATACATTACCCTGGTGGGAAGGGGATTACCTCCTAGTAACAGCTCAGATGTAACGAGATTTGGATGATGGATATGGATATTTTATAGGAAAAGGAAAGAATGAGATAACTGGCAGGTGTGATTGGGGAGGTCTGCAGGGAGCTCTCCTGGAAAGTGGGAAGGTCAGATTTGTTGTTACAATTTCTAATTAAAATAAAATTTGTTTTTCAGGCAACTGCTGGAAGAAACAAGGTAAAGTCTCTTTCATTTCTCAGCTGTTATTTTCCTTTAGATGAACATTCTTAGCTTCATTTACTTTTCTTCCCTCAATCCAAGCAGAAATTGCTGCAACTCATTTTACATTTAAATCTCATAGCAACACCTTTGACGCTCATTCACTAAAGGCCATTTACTATTTCTGCAATAGTTGCTCCTATTTTCTCTCTTATTTTACAATATTTTTGTGGTACTAATTTGGGAGCGGGCAGACTTAAGGAAGGCCGATGGGTGCCCCAAGAAGTTTTACATCTGTGTCTTTGACCTCTAGGACTGGGGTCCCTTCACAGGGGGCAGCCAGCAGGCTGACAGATGCCCCAGAGTTTACAGGGAGAGCTTATTACACCTCAGACTTTGACTGCTAGGACACATGATCCCTTCACAGTGGGCAGCTAGGGAAGGCTGAGAGGTGCCCCTACGGATCTGTCCCCTGGAAGCGATACGATCCAAATGCCCAGCTCTGCCTGTATCTGTCCCTTATGACAGCCTGGAGTTCTTTTAAATTGTTCTTGGTTCTGTTACAGCAACTGAAGGAGTCAGGTTAAAACTTAAACAGTTACAGATTTATTAAAGAAGCTTATAATCATATGGTTACAATGGCTATTGCTCTATTTCTTAACTGCTAGCAAATACAGATCTTAAAAATGGTTACAAAGAAAATAAATATAGAAAATAGAAATAATGGTACCAAGTGACAGCTTAATCTTTAAAGAGCTCTAAGTCTATGTGTACACTTAAGATAAAGGACACATCCAGGTACAATTTTTACCCCCTTCTATGCCTCTCGACTCTACGGTATCAGGCCAGGGCCAGTCACTCAATTCCTAGGAAAGACGAATACCCATGGAACCTCAGGAGGCCAATCACCTAACCCAACCAGCAGATAGATGGTAGATTGCCACTCAGAGTGAGTGTGCTGCTGGACCCATCTTTATACCTTTAGGGGCCCGTATACTTTTTCTTATCTAAGATGCCAAATTGTGTTGGTCCGTCTTTGTGATGCCAGTTCTTACAAGGGAGTTTCAACTTAATTTACACTTGCAAGAGAGATAACTAAATAGTGAATACTGGACATTGTTTACTGGGCGGAAGATTCCTCCACGCACTCCCCCGCCCTCAGACAAGTGTGTGTTCGTATCAATATAGGTGCCAGCCAAGGCAGTTCTCACAGCATCGAGGTCAGCAGTTAGCTTGATCACCCTCGATCACTGCTTACAGTTGTCCAGGGTCACCGTGAGCTAGCATTTTCCAGGCCTCCTGTCAACGTTTCAAAGACTGTGCTGATTTTACTGCTCTGCGTGCCCTATGTGCTCCAGGCATGTCAGAGAGGGGCAAGCAAGATGTTACAGGAGGGGGTTCCAACATGGCAGTGAAAAATTATATGCATTTCTTTTCAGATACGTATTTTCTGTCTTTTCAGGGAGAGCTGCTCCAGAGAACGGTAAGTTTCTATTGATTCCTGCATATAGAACAGCAGTAAATTTGTTGTGCTACTTGTTAAGGGGAACTCAAAGAACTAAAAATCACATATATATTATAGTTAGTTTGGGCTTCCACCCTGGGTCTTCATCCATCTTATTAAAACAAGATTAGGGTATGTCTACACTACAGCGCTAATTCAAACTAACTTAGTTCTAATTAGTTAATTTGAACTAAGCTAATTCGAATTAGTGCATCTAGACTTAAAAACTAGTTCGAATTAACATTTTGCTAATTTAAACTAGCATGTCCACATTAAGTGGACCCTGAACCGAAGTTAAGGCTGGCTGGAAGCAGTGCCGGCAGGGCATCAGGTTAGGACTTAGAGTGGAGCTGCTGTCTCAGGCTAGCCGAGGGCTGTGCTTAAAGGGACCCGACCCCCACCCCGGACAGACAGTTCTCAGGATTCCCCACTTGTTTGTCTACCTCGATGAGGGACAGCAAAGCAGTCCTGTCTTGGAGTGCCTTGAGTGCCCACACTCGGCACATCACAGCACTTGGCCATCAACCCGGCTGCACTTGCTGCAGGCTGCCATCCAGGAGGATCAATCGGGGGGTTGTCAGGATCCAGGAGACCCTGCAGGAGAGCTTCCACCCTGAGGAGCCCGCGGAGCCATCCCAGTTCTCCCCATCAGGGGCTCATACCCCATTCTTCCCTCACCTCTTTCCACTTGTCCCCCATTACCTCTTCCTGATGTAAAAAATAAAGGACACGTGTGTTCAAAAATAGAAACTCTTTTTATTTAACAAAGCTGAGGATGGAGGGTGGGGAGGATTAACCTCTAGGGAGACTGGGAAAAAGAGGTGGGAGAGGGGAAGAGAGAGGGTGGAAGAGGGGAGGGGGAAATGTGGGAGGAGGGAGCTGGAAGGGGGAAGCCAGGGGAAGAAAGAGGATGGGAAGTATAAAACTATGGTATGCCCACATCTTCAGTACTGTGTACAGATGTGATCTCCTCACCCCAGAAAAGATATTTTGGCCTTGGAAAGGGTTCCGAAAAGGGCAACTAAAATGATCAGGGGTTTGGAACAGGCTGTGAAGGCTATAACTATAACAGAGTTTAAAGAGAAGTTAGATAAAGTCATGGAGGTTGGGTCCATGGAGTGCTATTAGCCAGGGGATAGCAACGGTGTCCCTGGCCTCTGTTTGTGGAAGGCTGGAGATGGATGGCACGAGACAAATGGCTTGGTTATTGTCTTCGGTCCATCCCCTCCGGGGTAGCTGGTGATGGCCACTGTCGGCAGGCAGGCTACTGGGATAGATGGCCCTTTTGTCTGACCCAGTACAGCCATTCTTATGTTCTTATGTTGTAAGCTCAGGGCTCAGGGTTGGGGGTCTCACTGGACCAACTTGATTTTCATGCAAACCTGCTCCTGGGTTTGCATGTGGCCTTTGGTGGCCAGGCTGGCAGCTATCCTGCCCTAGAC